TTCAAATTCTACTAACACATTAGCATCAGATAGATTTTCAATTGTTTGAGAAGCTTTTGTAACATTCAATGTCTGCTAAGCTCCTGTAGAATCACATTTTTACTTTTACCTTAGCAATCTTACATTCCATTTTTAGCACATTTTCCTTTCTAATGTATTATTGGTAGATACTGCTTTATCCAGAAAATCAGGAAAAACCATTGAGTTACATATTGGATCCAACATGAAATCCCACATGGAAGTTTATGATACCCTGTAGCAAAACATACACAGCTCATTTTTCTGGTCATCCCTCCCAGGGGACATTATGAGTTCCTTCCCTGTGTGTTATCACAGTGTCTGTCTCAAGCTGGTTCTGAGGAAAAAGGTTCCTACTGCTTACCTCCCATGCTCTGATTATGTTGGTCTCTCTGTTTAGATTTCTCTTATTTTTCTGTTTATTTTTCCAAATAGACTTCATTTGCATCAGGAGAAACTCCTGCAAAANTTGGTTAGTGTAAAGCATGTACTCAAATTCTGGCCAATGAAACAAGAAAGTAATGCTTAGAATTCTGTAAAAGGTGTTCTTGCTCCAGAAGAAACGCATGGAAGGAAAATCTGCTTTTTCTGCCTTTGGACATTATTTGGATGGAATACCCATTTGTACAGCTATTTTGTAGTCTCAATGGAAACTAGCTTAAGTACAAAAGCCAATACTCTAAGGATATCAAAGGTGTGGAAAGAACCTGAGTTCTTAATAATACATGAACACTGATTACCTAATTCTGGAGAGGCTAATTAATAAAGTAGAAGGAATGGTGGAAAATCACCATTTTACAGACATAATATCAATTATTAAATTAGTCAAGAATTATTAATGGATGATAAAATAACTAAGTCAAANAGCAGTACCTACTACATGGTGTTTAGTAATTCTATTTGTTTGTTGCACAAAAGAATGTCTTCACTTATTACCTGTCAGATCCCGGGTCCTTCACATTTCAAAGTGCATTCAGAGGCATTACTTACCCTGTAATACTCAGCAGCCTCCTTTACTGGACAGTGTCTGTGAGTGGCATGCCCTGGGGATTGAGAGCACAGCAAACACAGTAGGCTCTTGTCAGTTTCACAGATGAAATTCTTGACTTGCTGGTGACTCCTACAGATCTGCATCGCAGAGGTTTGTAACTGGTAGACAACTGGTTTTGGTTTA